AGTAGGCTCCGTACGTGTCAGAATTGACTTTATGACTGTAGCTTTAGTTTCTGTTCAGAAGACTTATCTTCTTCCATTCTGTAGGTCGTATTTCCACTTTTGAGTGTCCTTTGGCACACAATTCTTAAAAATTTTGATGAAGTTCAATTTATCATTTTCCTTTGGTTAAAATTTAGATGACATATACAAAATACTATTGGTTAAGCCTAGGTCATAGACTCAACGGTTGTTTTCAATCAAGAGTTTTATATTTTTCTAGGTCTTTGGCTCATTTTCAGCTACTTTTTGAATATGGTGCAAAAGGTTCAAATTCACTCTTTTGCATATGGGCTTCCAGTTGTCACTGCACTTGTTAGACTCATCTTCCCCCCTTGTGTGGAGTTAGTAACTTTGTTGAAAGCCTATTGACCAGACAGATGTTTGAGCTGATTTCTGGCAGCTCAAATCTATTCCATTGATCTGTTTTCATACAAGAACTACTGCTTGGCTACTTTTTTGATTATTTTAGTTTTGTAATAAGTTTTGAAATTGAAATTTGAGTCCTTCAACTGTTTTCCACCCCACCCCACCCCTCAAGATTGTTTTGACCTATTCTAGATCCTTTGCCTTTCCATGTGAAGTTTAGGATCAGCTTATAAATTTCTGCCAACAAAGCAGCGGAATTTTAATATGATTGCATTAAATTTATAGATCAATTTGGTGAATATGGCCATTTTAATACTCCAGTTTTCCAACCCACGGACAGTCTAGCTAGGTGGTGTAGTCTGTAAATGTTGTCTTCTTTTGTTGCCCAAGTATTTTACTTGTTGACACTTTAGCTAGTTTTTCTACTGAAAGCGGAGTCATGAAAGCTTCACCTATTATTGGTGAACTGCCCATTGCTCCGTTAGATTGTTTTCCTCCATCATGTATTTTGAAATGACTGTTAGACATGTATTTTATAACTGCTCAATCTTCATGAGTCTATTATAAAATGTCCTTTAGTACTCACTTGTCTTAAAATCTATTTTTTAATAAGGGGACTTCAAAAATTTCATGGAAAAATAGTGGAGATAATTTTTCCTACGTGTTTAAGTCCCCTATTAATATAGCTCCATTGCTACTCCTGCTCTCATTTACTTTTGACCAGGCATGCCTTTTCCAAGCTCTTGCTTTCAATTTGTCATTGTGCCTTTGAATCTTACAGAAAGCATGTGGTTGGAGAATATTTTATTCATTCTGCTACGGACTTGTAATTTAAATGTATTTCTGCTATTGTATTTTCAACACTAGAATTTGCTTGGCTGTTTAAAAACATACCATTTCAATCTCTTTTTAGTAAGGCATACTGCTTATACTTTCACTTCAAGCATCATTTCCTTTAGTTCTTTGAACATAATTAAGATAGCCAATTTAATCTTTTTCTATTAAGTCCAACATCTTGGCATCTTCAGGGAATTTGTACTGATTGCTTTTCCTGGGTATATACCCTACTTTGTTTCGTGATTGTCGAAAACTGGGCATTTAAAGTTCGGCAATTCTGAAAATCACATTCTCCTTCTTGAGAGCTTCTTGTGGCTGCTTGTTGTAGTTTTAGTGCTTTTTCTGAATGGATTTTGTAAAGTCGATATTCTTTGTCATGTGTGGAGTCTCTAGTCAGCTTAGTAGAACTAATTAGTCAACTAATGTGGTCAGCGATTTTCTTAAACGCTTAGAACCAAAAAACAAAAGCCAGTTTTTGCCAAGGTGCGTATTAAAACATGGCTTTAAAACTCAGGTTGGCAGTTGCAAATTCAGCCTTAGCTTTTATTCCGACCTGTGCAGTCTCAAGGGCCAATCAGCAGTAAGTGCTTGGATTCTTCTCAGGTCTTCACTGGGATGACAAGAACCCTGCGGCAGTCATGCCCTTCTGGTTTCCTAGAAATAGGTTGCAGTTTTTCAAAACTTCTATGGACATCTCATTTCCCAGTTTTTTCAGGCCTTTTGCTCATTTGCTCCAACGATTCATTAATCCAGGTGATGCCCATTGAGTCTCCTTGAGTCAGCTCAAATACAGGCAGTTTTGTAAGTGGTGTCCTCCAGGGCACCAGAAGATAGATCAGTTCACAGTTCTTTTGAGAATAAGAAGTTCAAAGAGCTCTCATGGTTTTGCTTCCTCTGCTGAGTGCTCGGCTGCATCAAGGAGGGCTTTGTGGGGAACATGGGATGGTGCTAGCACAGGTTAAGAGAGATCGCTGACCTTACCGAGATGCTTACGTTTTTGTTGAACGAATGATCTCTAGGTTGCTACCAGCCTTGTCAGTTTCTAAGCTTCTGTGAAAATTAATTCTGGCAAATTCTTCCCATTATTTCATTGCTTGTATGGGGGAACAAATGTTCAGACTCCCTCCTCTGTCATTTCCACTGACATCCTTGACCATGCACAACCTTTGTTTCTGTTCCTCAATGAACTGCAAGCAACTGGTTTAAAAGGAGACAGACAAGAACCAGAAGGGACAGTAAGGCAAACAGCCATGAAATACACAGAGAATGGAGAAATAAGACCTGTCATAATGCCAGAGGTGAGGAGGACAAAGTCAAAAGTTTCATACATTAACAGATCTTCCCTTACCATCAGCCGCTTCTTGGGAGAAAGACAGGGCTTTCTACTCTTGGAACTCACAGGGACAGCTCTACCCTGCCCTAGAGTCGCTATGAATCACCACCAACTCAATGGCATTGAGTTGTTTGGATTTTGGTATTTAAAGTAAGTCAGGAGCCATCTCTTATATCACCAAGCTTGTATTTCCCATCTTTCTTCAGATTAGGAGACTAGTGTTAACATTCTTGAGGACTGAGGTAGGCAAGAGGTCCTGGGCTGCCAAGGAAGCACTTCCCACTAAAATATACATGCTGCCGCCCTTTTACTTCTGACCACACCAGCAAGGGTATTGCAAGGAAAAAGGCAGTTGAGAGACTACCAAGCATGGTCCATGGGTGAACTGAAAGCAAGTGAGACACTCGCTGGTGCATCACCTCAAGGCTAAGGAGTAGGAAAAGAACTCAAAAGTAACCCCTAAGATAAAGTGACCAGATTTCAACATTGGTAAAGCGGGACACCATTGATAAGACTCATATCCTGGCGAAATAGCCACATGGCAGCCGAAAACCGTATACCCTAGCTTGTCATGCACTTTCCAAAATTCGGACTGTCCCGCCAAAAGCTGGACATCTGGCCACCTTACCCTAAGAGGGCAGAGCCTAGTGCCACCCTTCCACACCCCAATCCACTGACACTAGCCCTGGCACACAACTTTGGCCAATGGTCTGTTAGCAGATGTCATGCAAGCCAAAGGCATGAACCGTTGTGTGGGGTTAGGCTTGTCTTGTCCTGCCATCATGAGACCGTCTCTGATCATCTTTGTATTCCAGCGCAGCTCCAAAATGAACTTAGATAAAGCTCAACCTATAGCAAGCAGCCAAACCAGTAAGACCCTCAACCTGAAGAGCCAGCCAGCCAGGGTGAATGCAGCCAACCCCCAGAGGCATGAGGAGGACTACCATGAAGATGAAGGGTTGAGATCTGGGATGGCTAAGCAGCAATAACTAGCAGTGCAGTCGTGACTTACTTAACTAATAACCGACAGTCCAGCAGTTTGAATTACAGCTGTGGAATATGGATGCACCCGTCTACTTCTGTAAATATTTGCAGTCTCAGAAGCCCTAGTGGTGTCCTACTGTCCCGGGGCTAGGAGTTGAATGGACTCCACAGCAGCTGAGTCTGGTTTGGGGTACACAGTCATAAGAACTGGAGTAGAGTTAATTTTCTCTGTTCTTTGCAGATCCTTCCACAGTGCCCGGCAAGGTGTTCAATAAACATCTACTGTGGTCAAATTTGTTTGATCTAAAAATAGATACCCAGGGGAATAAAACTGACTAGAAGCTATGAAACTCAGTATCAAGTGTTTGTCCCAAGTTGAAAACAACCAATTCCTAGGGACATAAATTATGTTAAAGGAGTCCTAGCAGTGGGAAGAACCGTTTTGAATTTACACTTCAAAAAAACCGATCAGCTAGGCTACCTGGGGAGAAAGTTCCTTCTGCTTATTTCCTCATCTGCTAATTGGTGTATTATCACATAAATGTATTTCTAGCACTTACAACCTTGCCTGGAGCATGATAAACTGCTATGTAGGCATTTGCCATTATTACTACCTGCATACAGACTATTTTGAGGAGGGTTATTAAACCCTGCTTTACCTGCCCTTTTCCCTCCCCTCCAATAACCTATTTATATCTGTTCTCTAATCTCTGCCCAAATTTATAATTAGCTCTTTCAAGTTTCCATGACCTTTTTGTGCTCAGGAATTCTAAGTACTGATATCTACTCCATCTCCAACCTGACCTCTACACCAAGCATCTCAAGAACATCTTTGTTCCACCTAGAATGCCATTTGGTTCCATCTCCACCGGCCTGAATCATCTTTGCTTCTCAGTGTCTACCTGAATTGCCGACTGATCCAGGAAGCCTGTACTCCCCACCAGTGCCAAAGCAGTCTTGTTCCTTGACAATTCTGTACCTAAATTGCTTTTTCACTACTTTCAGTTCTGCTGGCTACTAACTACAAGGTTAGCATTTTCAAACCATCAACAGCCACCCCCCGCCCCCCGCCCTGGGAAAGGATGAGGCTTTCTACTCCCATAAAGATTTAGTCTGGGCAACCCACAGGAGCAGTTCTTCTGTGCTCTAAGGTTCTCATGTGCCAGACTCAACTTGACGGCTGGGAGTTTGGAGGAGGGACTGCAACATCTGTGTGTACTCTTTATCCTCAAAAGACACACCAATCAATCAATCAATCAATCAGTATTTGAAGGCATGCGATTTAAAAAGCCCTTTCATCTATATTTGAATACAGTTTACTGAAAAGCTATTAAGGCAGGCAAAAAAGATGAAACCATACTTTAGACATAATTAAATACTAACCACACATTGTGCAAAGATAAGGAAGAAACAGCTTGCATGGGGGAAAAAAGACACTTGATTTATTGCATTAAAAAACTTTATTTCATTTAAAAGGTCCAATAGAGGCCAAATCAAACCCAAAATTTATAGCTACACTTAAAGATCTCCTGAATTAAATGAATCCTGGGTCTCCTAATTAAATGGCACGGTTTGATATGAGTGTCTTGTCAAAGGAGATCATTTGCTATTACCACCAATTTCCCCAAAGTAGTTCTAAGAGCAAAAGCTGGTATTAACACATCAGATATTTCAGATGTCACCTTTCATGCAGAAGTTAAAAAAGCAAACAGGCTTTGCTACTGTGTGAGGAGTTAAAAAAAAACAAAACACTGGTGGCATTGGTCTACAGAGAAGGGCCTGAATGCTTTTGACATACAAGGTGTAACTATAAAGGAAACTAACTATGCAATATTCATTCAAGTTGCCCATGTACTCACCCCAGCAATACTAGTGCTGTTCAAATACTATTTGAGATAGTTTGGAATTTCCCTCCTCAGCTGAAGACCAAAGGAGCTGGCTGATCAAGCTGGGGATAGACTATCACGAGATGCATATACAAAGCAATGAAACAGTTCTTGTCATGGGCTAGCAACTTCAAGAACCACCTCACAAATATTTGCAATAATAGCATCATTTACATGTAAGTGATACCGAATGTAAGTCCTGTATGCGTGAACATAAATTAAAAACAGCTTGTTACTTTATAGCTACACCTTGGAATCCATTAGATGTTATGAATCTAACAGTGTGTCTAATGAGTCTTTCTGGAAATCACTTCAACAGACGAGTTGAGCATCCTGTAAAGAGAAGGCATGGCAGAGGGCATAAGAATTCATCCTTCCAATATTCTTAGAGTTCTTTTGGAGGCCAGATCTGGGCCCACGGACAGAAGTTATCAGGAGGGAGGCTTCAATTCCATCTAAGGAAGACCTTTCTAACAGTCAGAGCTGCTCAACAACTGAATGGACTGCTTGGTGAGGTAGGGTCACTGGAAGTGTTCAAGGTGGAAAGATCACCCTTGTAGAAAGGACTCCTGCATTGGTTAAGAGGTTAGACTGGATGAACCTCAAGTCTCTTTCAATTCTGAGATTCTAGAAAATTCCCTCAGGGAATTCAGAAGAGAATTCCTAAAAGGAAAGAGAAAGCACACATATGTATACTTTTAGAATCCTCGAGGTTTTTTTTCTTTTTTCTTTTCAAAAGGTACAATAGAAAATGTAATCCACTGGCTTTAAAATGCATATTCACCTTCCTACCAATAATAATTAGGAAGGGTTCATTATGATTTCTTTATATTATAAAGAAAAGATGGAATTATAATTTCTTTAAATATTTTAGATTAAAAAAATCGCTTAAAATCTAGTCAATGCCCTAGAAACTTTATACTTTTTAGATAATATGCACAGATACAAATACATTATTCATTAAATACAACTCACATCTGTGTTTTATTATACTCTAAAATATACAGGAATCTTGATGTACTGAAAGAGTGCAAGTAAATACAGTATTCAAGCAGTCACTATTTCTATGTACATGCTCATTAATTCTTCAAAAACCCACAAAATTATCAAATAGATCAAAATACTGTTCTGTTTTCACACTTTATATTCAGAAAACCAGCTGATAATTTACAATGTCATAAATTTCCAGTTTCACAATACAAAAGGGATAAAATGAAATTGGGTATCATTTCATTGCAATTTCTCCAAACCTGTAAGACCTCCTATACATGTGTGGAGTCACTTTTGTGGGAAAAGTGAGTTACAGTAAAAGCAGAACCACTTAAATTGTTATTTAAAAGCCTTAACATCAGCCTTTTCTCCATTTTACTTGAAGGCATCTCCCCACTCTACAGGCAATTGCTGCTTTTCCCAGACTGTAGCATGTTACAAATTTTAAATCTGAACATGACCTTATTATTTTAAATCCCTAGTATTTTAAATCTTGTCCATTACAGAAATGCCTTCAAGAGACCTGATGGTATGTAACTTATAAAAAAGGAATTTGTCCCCTTTTGAATCTTATTTCTTGACGCAAAAATAAAAATAAATAATAATCCCCCACCCATTATGGAGGCGCAAACGTCGTCTCTGATGAAGGAGCATCATCCAAAGGAGTGAGGTGGGAGATTCTATTCTCCAGGATGCGTACGCTGCAACAGGGTGAAAAGAAATCTACTCTTGGATCTGCATGGCATTTTGTTCTTCTAAGAAATCTGTTACATTTTTAGATAAAAATAGATTAATTTTAAATCCAAACTAGTCAAACTGGGCATTAATAGCCTCATCTCATTCCCTCTCATATCTATATCACAAGTATGTTCACCCTGGATGGCTGCACCCAGTCAGCTGGTTTTCAACTCTAATATTATAAAACTTGGATTTTAAAACTTTTACGTAAAAGAAACAAAATGTAAAAATATATGCTTTCTCTCATGGTTTAATACAATATGGAAGGCTTTAAGATGTTTTCTTCAAAAAAAAAAAAAGAAAAAAAAATCAACATTAAAACTATATTGCAGTTTTATTTTTCAGAAATATTATGGTTTGATTTAGATAATGCCTCATTTCACCTACTCCAGTTTCCACAAAGTGATATTAAAAAAAAACAACTTTAAAATTATTTGGTCCTTTGGCAATTTGCTGTGCACTTAATGCCTACTGTACCAAACTTTTATTGCCTTTAAATTTAGTTGCGTTTTATTGATAAAATTTTAGTCTAGTGTCCACATCTCTTGTTTTACAATAGTGTTGCTTGTGCAAGCAGATTGGGGTGCCCAGTGTCCCAAATTATTCCTGGGACTGGTAAATCAAATTAAACAACTTCACAAAGCAATGTGGCATCAAAGTATTTTGCTCTGGTCAAGCCTATTTCAAGATTCTAGAAGTTCTTTTTGCAAAACTTGCCTTTAAAACTCTTCTTCCTAATGTCATCCCATCTCTTACATTCGTCCACTTTGCGATCTTTCCTCTTAGGATGAATTTGTATGTGAATAAGTAAGTGCCTTTTTTTCCTGCAAAAGCACAGTTTGAAGCTTTAGTGTTAGAACCCCCTCCTTCGACCTCTGGCTCAGCCTCTTAGTACGTCTCAGAATCGGAGTCATTGAGCTCATCCACTTCGGTGTATAAGTATTCTTGTTCCCCGCCAATATTGTTGAAACTGCAATAGGAGCTAGGTTCATTCCTCATGATGGGCAAGGCTTCAAAGCTGACTGTTTTTGAGGTGTTGGTATATCGGTTAATGGAATTGAATGTCAGGGATGATAGAGGGCTACTTGATGAGACAGGCATCATGGTGGCCAAAATGAGAGCTAGGCAATCAGCCACATCCTTATTGGGAGCACAAGCCAATGCTGGGGTATAACCTAGAATAAAAGATAGAATATACAAATAAAAATGCTCTAAGACTCATTTCATTGGTACACAAGGATATAACTTTCCAATAAACAAAACAGAAAAAGACAAAAGTCCTAAGAAACCTACGGCGGAAGGAGACTTTACAGAAGAGGAAACTTAAGATTAAAGATGGGGGGGAAAATAGAAGATGAAAGATCTCCCTAAAACATCACAACTTATCCATATTCATCTGAATTTGTAGAAAATCTTAGGCTAGAATAACAAACTATAGGTCAATAAACCTCACTTCAGAATGATGAGTAATGATGCAGCATTAAACCATAGCTATGGGATGTACTTAAATGGTGAAACTTCTTCATGTGTACAGATTACACTGTAGTAAGTGCTCAAGAGATAAGCTATGAATGACTGAAAGAACAAATGACTGTCAATTAACTTTTCTTTTGGGGTCATAGTCAAGTCCATTGAAGAAAAACACAGGATAAATTAAACAGGTGAACTTTAAAAATTTCTCACGAGCAGAGGATGGCTAACTTTAGCCAAACATCCCCACAAAATAGCAAAATTATATCAAAGAAGTAAATGTTTTTTTGTTTCACCCGGTATAAGACACAATCTTGAGGAAGTAGTAGGAGAGAAGAGAATACACTGTGAGATGCCAAATTCAGACTACACAATGTGGAATTCTAAAACAGTTCACATTTATTAAGTCACACGGAACCAGTAACAGACATTTAGCAGCAAATAGCTTAGTGTGTTAGTCTACACCTGTACTTCTTGTTGTACATCTAAACACTTTGCTTACTATTACATTCACTCATAATTTACCCTTCTCACAAGTCAGAAATTACTGATACAAAATCACTTAACTCTTTATGAGACAAAATATGAAGCTATAGCTTCTTGACACATCCTCATTTAGGTCTATGTACTTCCCAACGCAGTGTTTTCATTACTCTTGCTCATCCCCAAAGAATTCTGCATTCTTTGATTTACACCACTGTCAAAGTAGCAGTTTTGGCATCCTCCGGGGACTCAAATTCTATTATTTTTCAAATTTTTTTCTCCCCTTTTTCTTTCAGTTTTGGGAACAAAGAGATTTGAAAGGTGAAGATCAGGAGTTTACTAATGAAATTCATGGAATACCCTTTGCTCTATTTGGCCCAAAAAAGTTCACTTTATTTTAAATGTGGATCATTGAAAAGAAAGAAGTTTCTACTAGGATATACATAAGGGGGTGGGGGGCCGAAAAATAGACCTACTCACCATTTTCATCTACTGCAAGTACACTTGCTCCCTTTCCCAAAAGTTCCTGAACCACCATTGTGAGCCCATTTCGAGCAGCAACATGCAGAGGTCTGAGAGGGAAACATGTTTAGATGTGACTTTATATATTTACTTACACACACACACACACACACACACACACACACACACACAC